GTTAGGTTAGGTTAGGTTAGGTTAATGTTAGGTTAAGTTAGGTTAGGTTAGGTTAGGTTAGGTTAGGTTAGGTTAGGTTAGGTTAGCGTGTTCTCAGCACCCTGTATTTGGTGCTTTATGACCCATATCTGACCCAGACCCATGTGGATTCTGTGCCTGATTTGATGGAGTCTCACAAAGTTCTCTGGCTTTAAGAAATGTTTGATTCTTACTTTTTGTATTTAATCTAAACTGTTTTTCTTCTTTTTGATGCAGCATGTGAATGTCCAAATATCTCACCTTCCTGCAGTCGTCCATCAGCAGCTGCTGCTCCTGCAGGAGAAATGGTCTTCACATAGACCCCCATGGGTCCATACGGGCTGTCCTGACCCCCAACAATACTGAAACCTAGACCCTGACAGAAGACCAGCAGAAAGGTTAGTAGAGAAAAACAGTTCTATGCTGCTGAATGTTTTAGTCCAGTGGACTTTAACAAGCTTTAGACTGACCAAATGTGCTGATAAAAGGGTTAGTTCAGATATTTAGCAGTGGGKTTTTGTGGGGTTTGTCCCACCAGCAGAGTCCTGACAGGACTCAGTGGTTTTCCTTCACCTGTTGGTGGTCATAATGTTCTGGCTGATTGGTGGAGGTGGGTTTCTTACAGTTTACAGTGTTCTGTTCTGTTTCGGCTCTGGTTCTGGTTCCTACCTTGCCATGACCCTTTATCAGCACAATGTTGCAGATGATGAAGGCGTGCACGTTGGTGAACGGCTTCAGCAGCTGAGCCGAGCTGAGAGAGCGAGGGGGACCATCCAGTGTCTGCAGAACAGCAGGCACACATGTTGGGACCTCATGGGGACTTTATACTGACTTCATGAGACTGATACCTGGGTAGTGGTGTGAGGAAACTCCAGCTGTTGGGACAAAGACTTCCTGGTTCCAAAGACATCACCATTAACTTGAGGACAGATGTAGAACTCAGGAGACTTCAGGATGATGTTGTCCAGATCTCCAATCCAGTAGGGACGAACACCTTGTTCTGTAAACATTATTAAATCAACTACATTTCAAACATACAGGCTGGATTTAATGAATACTCTTTACTTCAGTACTTTCAGTGTTTTAAAATAATACACATTTACTTTACAATATTACTGTGAGAACGTTATTAAACCTGATCATTGACTGACAGATAAATCTAATAAAACTCTACGATCAAAAGTCTGAATGTTTAAAAAGAACAAAATTCATTCAGGTCAAAGAAATTTAGCCAACAAATTCTGATTGAACCAAAGCAACGTTTGGGATGAAATACTCTTGTCCCTGTTTAGACCTGAAATAAGATGTGCCAAAGAACTTAGTTTTGTTTGGGTTTGTTCAAACTGTTTTAAGTAAAGGAAACAGCAGGAAGGGAACAGAAATGAGACAAACTGTTTGTCCTGATGTCCATGTCTTCATGTGGAGGGTCCTCAGTCTTTGTCTCGTTCCTGAATCTTTCCTCATTTACTTCTGGGATGGGTAACTACACACAAAACCAACCAATACAAATACACACAAACACACACAACCAAGTAAAGTCATGAGCTGTGACCTGTCTCTGTAAATGAGATAAATATGGATATGTGTGTCAGTCTGAAGAAACATCTACCTTGAGGTGATTATTATTGGATGTAAGTTCTTCATCTGAGKATCCAGGTAAGAACAGAGGCTCTGGGGCTGAACTAAGAGCTGAGTGATGATGACCATGTGAATGGAGAACATCTTCACATGAAGTATCCTGAGGAGCAGAGAGCAGGACATGTCAGCTGCAGTCCAGGGCAGCTCATCACTGACCTGACAAACCTGAAGTCAGAGGAGAAACTCTGAATTACAACATTAATAACATTAATATTAGTTTTTATTACACTGCCTGGTCACTCTAATATTTGTTGATTACAGACCTTCTGCAGCACATCCTGAAGACTCTCACTGGACTCTGTGGAGCCAATCCATGTGTGAAATGATGTCTCACTCCCTGAACCACTCTTTCACAATAAGAGCCTGAACCACTCTTTCACAATAAGAGCCTGAACCACTCTTTCACATAAGAGCCTGAACCACTCTTTCACATAAGAGCTCCATGAATTCTGGCATTGTCCTCTTGTCTTGGACGTGCCCTCAGGGCAGAAACACTCACTGATGGAATCACCTGTCATCCAGGTAGTCAGCTGACCTCATTCTGTGAGCTGAACCTGGACCTGACCACCTGAAGACCTCACATCATAGACCTGACCACCTGAAGACC